CACATTTAGACACAATCAATCTAGGATATTTATCCATAGAAAGTCTATCTAACAAATTGATAACAGAAGATAATTCTAGAAGGAATCGTTCTAACAATCACACAGAACATAAACCATATAGGAAAGTAGCTTTCCAAGAAAAATATAGTGGAACATTTAAATGTCATAATTGTGGATCCAGGGAACACAATAGAAGAGATTGCCCAAAATTCTTAAAAGAAAGATATAGATCAGAATACAGAAACAAATACGATTATAGACAGCCTTCCATAGAAAGGCATAGATATAGGAGCCCACCAAATCACAGAGAGAATAGAGGGGGCAGAGACAATTCAAAGGATAGAAAGTCTGGTTCACTGAATGGATTAAATAAACAAGACAACATTAACACACAACAAAGTGAGAACAATAATTGGCTTATTGATTCTGGAGCAACTAATCACACCACTAATAACAAAAGTATATTGTCTTCATTTGCAGAAGATAAATTTGTAATTAAGGTAGCTAACCAAGAAAAGGTTCAAGTATTAGGTAGAGGAAATGTAACCTTACCTGGTCTAGGAAAAATAGAGGGGGTATTACTAATACCTGAAATACCTCATAACATATTAAGTGCCATAAAACTAAGCAGAGATTCTGACATTAACATTGTCTTTTCAAAAGGAAAGGCAACTTTGGAAAAGAATAAAATAAATGTAGGCACTGTGGTGACTAAAGGAGGACTACCTTACCTAATAACAAAAGAAAAATGGTTACATAACATTGATTCAAATATGGAAGATTGTATTGAGATAGATGATGAGAATGTTAGCAACAGTGACAATGATGAATGTAAAATATCTCATGATCACACAGATGCACACAACGATAAGAAGCCAAAGATAGGCAAACCAATTCATGATGAGTGTGCTCACATATTGCATAGGAAGTTAGGACATGCCAGTTTTCCTGTAGTGCAAAAAATGACTGAACACGCAGAAGGTGTCAAAATAAAAAATTGTGAAAATTATCTGGAATGCTCAGTATGTAAATCTACAAAACTAAAAACTAGTCCCAGGCCAAAAAAATCTACCAGATCAACTAACAAAATTTTTGATTTAGTACACATGGACTTAGTTGGTCCATTAACTCCATCAATCACTTATAGGAAACGTTACTTCCTGACAATAGTGGACGATTATAGCCGCTATGGATTTGTTTACACATTAAAACACAAAGATGAAACATTTCAAAAATTTAAAGAATTTTACAAACGCATAGAAACACAACACAACATCAAAATAAAACAAATTATGACAGACAGAGGATGCGAATTCATGTCTAAAGAATTCTCACAATGGTTAAAAGACAAAGGAATGTTACATTACACATCTAGTCCATTTTCTCCGTTCCAAAACGGGATTGCAGAGAGAAAAAATTCCACATTACAAACCATGATTAGATGCACATTGGAAGATGCTGGCTTAAGCAAACAATTCTGGTCAGAAGCCTTACATTATTCAAATTACACACAAAATAGAACATGGTCCAGCATTATAAATAAGACACCATATGAAGTGATGTATAATAGAAAACCAAAATTAGCACACATGCATATATTTGGAGTCACAGCAGACGTACACATACCTAAACAATTAAGAAGAAAGGGAGAAAATGTGTCCAGGAGACTCAGATTTATGGGATATGAGACTGGCACTAAAGGATACAGATTCATTGATAGTAACAACAAATTTATAGTCTCCAGAACAGCTGTGTTCCATGAACAAGCTAACTGGTCTAAATTACATCTTAATGAGATATTCCCAAATAAACATGAAGATACAAAATCTCATGAGAAAGGGACTATAGAAAAACAAAATATCGACAAATATAGAAACAAAACTAAAACTTGGACAAATAGCCAACTCAAAATAAAGACAGACACACTAACAAAAAAGGAAGCAAGATATTTGCATGATAACGATAGTAAACCCGAGAAAATCATTAGAAACACCAGAAATCAAATGCCAAATAAATACAAGGATTATGTAATGCACATGAATGGTGAACCAACAACACCCAATACATACGAGGAAGTGTTAAAACTTCCTCACGAAGAAAAAGAAAAATGGGAATTAGCAATGAAGAAAGAGATGGAAAGTTTACAAGGACTAAATGTATTTACACCTGCATCTGCACCTAAAGATAAGACAATTATTGGTACCAGATGGATATATAAAATTAAGAATTTAGAGGGAGGAAATACTCTATACAAAGCTAGATTGGTTGCACAGGGTTATGCACAGAAATATCCAGAGGACTATACTGACACGTATTCCCCCACTGTAAGAACAGAGAGTGTCAAAACAGCTCTAGTGGTAGCTTCAGCACTCAATCTAGATGTATTCCAATATGACATACAGACTGCGTACCTACACGCAAAATTAGATAAAGAAATATACGTGAGAGCACCTCATAGTCCATACACAAACAAAAATGAGACTTGGTTGTTAAACAAGAGTTTATACGGGCTAAAACAATCTGGTAAACGGTGGTATGATTGTTTAGTAAAAGTACTTAAGACCATGGACTTCAACGCTACCACTGCTGATAATTGTTTCTTTGTCAAGAGGGGTGATGATTACATTGAATTTGTATTGATTTATGTGGATGACATTTTATACATAGGAAAACATAAAGAAAGAAGAGAAACTTTTGTAACTAAACTAAATGAACATTTCTCATTGAAATCTTTAGGCAAGGTAAACAAATACCTTGGTGTCCAAATTAATAAGACAAAAAGGGGATTCAAACTTACCCAGAGAGATAAGATCATAGATCTTTTAAATAAATGCAACTTAAACAATGCCAAACCTTGTGATACCCCTATGCAAACTGACTTTCTAAGGAATTCTGATGAATCTTCTCCCGAGTTCAAGGACAATACATTCTATAGATCAATCATAGGTTCACTCCTTTACATATCTAATTGGACTAGGCCGGACATCGCTTTACCACTCAATTTATTATCTAGGCATGTCAGCAAACCAACAATGTACCACTGGGAAGCTGTTAAAAGAATTTTAAGATATTTAAAAAGTACACTAGACTTTTGTTTAATGTTAGAACCTAATGATATTAAAGAACCAAAGCTTACGTGTTATGCAGATGCAGATTGGGCTGGAGACACCTCATGCAGAAAAAGCACATCTGGTTATGTATTTCTCTTAAATGACTGTCCAGTTTACTGGTACACTGGTAAACAAGAACTAGTGGCTACTTCAACAACAGAAGCGGAATATGTTTGTTTATCCAAGGCCGCAAATAATCTTGTATGGTTTAATGATTTAATTTCAGATGTCTGGAAAAAACCTGCTCTGCCTTTTGTTATGCATGAAGACAATAAAGCAGCCATTGAAATATCTAGATCTGATGCCATTGGACAAAGGTCCAGACATATAGATATAAAATTTAAACATGTGAGACAATTATCTCAGGATGGATTTATTAAAGCAGTGCATTGCGACACTTCAGAACAATTAGCTGATATATTAACGAAGCCTTTACCTTCTAAACAGCATAAATACTTAACCTCTAAATTGTATGTTTTGTATTGTCCTGAATCTGAATGTAACTGGTGTTGTATAACGAATCGGCATTTAGAGGGGGATTTGTCAGATGTAAATGCCTTATTCTCCAATGTGTAAATAGTGTACAGACAGGGTATCAGGGGTTAACTTATTCTTCACTTCTTAATGTATTCATAATTCACCACTCCCACATATAGCTCCACCCATTGTATATATAAGGAGCTACCTACACCATTTCCCTTGCTTCTATCTGTGAATATTCAGTGAATATAGAATGCCTAATGTAAATAAAGAATATATAGTTAAATCTTTAACTCTTGTTGATCTTATTGAGTCTGATCCTGAAAATATTGCAACACTGCTTTTTTGCAAACCTCGTCTTGAGTCTCTCTCTTTGGCATTCTGGTGACTCAAGTATATTTTGGGACCTTACACTATTATAGAAAAGTAAAAAATTTGTGATTTGATGTTAATGCCTTATTTTTACTGTAACAGAAAAAGTCGGAAGTCGATGCTTCTTTTTCTTTTTTTTCCCCCCTATCTTTCCTCATTTCTCTTCCCCCTTTTCCCCTCCCACTGCTTTTCTATTTACTTTTGTATTTTACAATACTTTATACCTCAATGAAAATGTTAAAACTCGGATATGTTATTTGTAAATGTAATAAAGGTAGGATACAAATGAATGAATACCAATACACCATCGGAAGAAACAATAATAAAGAAAATCCTCGAATGTGCTGAAACGGATAAATTAACGATGGAGATCAAAGAAAGAGAAAGACTCGGATTATTATAAAGTGTGGAATAGGTTTTATGCATGGTTGGAAAACAGAAATCAAATTAAGAAATAAGAATATAAAATGAAATTAGATATTAACATACTGGATATAAATGTAAATAATGATCCTGCTAACAAAACAGTTAATTATGAATATTTAAAAATAAAGAGAAGGAGCGGGAGGATAAAAGTTAAGAGTAAAGACAAAAGTCGATGCAGAAAGTTGTAAAATTGTATATATCTGTTGTTAGTGTTGTATTTTAACGTCTGGTGTACATGTGTTTTTGTTTTTGTCTCTTGATTTCTTTTGCTGTTGTGTGTTTGGTTTTAAAATGTAAAATACTCAATAAAAATTATTTTATAAAAAAATAACAAATGAATGAATAATGTAACAGGCAGTGAAGGTGCTCCCTATCTTAAAAACACTTGGTTGCACATTCTTTACTTCTGCAGTAAAAAAAAAAAACAATCACCCAAAAAACATTGGATTACATTTCTCTCATCCTGCATGTTAATTAGAGTCCCGCCCCCCCTCCGCGCCCCCATACTGGATCGTACTTATCTTAAACTGACTTTCCCGCCGAAAAAGGCATAATAGAGGGGAGGGCAAATGCAAAAATGTGGCGGGAAAAGGTTTTGGCTGGAGCCGAACTTGCGCGCCAATTGACTCGGAGCTGCATGGATGCTGTTCCACTCTGCACCCTTCTGGCTCCTGGGGGTGACTTTGGGGGTTGTCCTGCTGCGGGGCTGCTGCGGTGAGTATCTCGGGGAGCGGGGAAGGGACGGCGGTGAGTATCTCGGGGAGCGGGGAAGGGACTGCGGTGAGTATCTCGGGGAGCGGGGAAGGGACCGCGCTGAGTATCTCGGGGAGCGGGGAAGGGACTGCGGTGAGTATCTCGGGGAGCGGGGAAGGGACCGCGCTGAGTATCTCGGGGAGCGGGGAGGGGACGGCGGTGAGTATCTCGGGGAGCGGGGAAGGGACTGCGGTGAGTATCTCGGGGAGCGGGGAAGGGACCGCGCTGAGTATCTCGGGGAGCGGGGAAGGGACCGCGCTGAGTATCTCGGGGAGCGGGGAAGGGACTGCGGTGAGTATCTCGGGGAGCGGGGAAGGGACCGCGCTGAGTATCTCGGGGAGCGGGGAGGGGACGGCGGTGAGTATCTCGGGGAGCGGGGAAGGGACTGCGGTGAGTATCTCGGGGAGCGGGGAGGGGACCGCGGTGAGTATCTCGGGGAGCGGGCTGCAGCTGCCTTGCCTACCTTTCCCGGTTCTCTACCAGCCAGGGATCCGTTTCTGCCACTCCGCCGATACCCAGAAGGGACTGCGCGGACCTGTTAGGATGGGGTGGGGTGGAGGGAGCTTCTGGGTGGGAGAAAAAGCACCTCGGAGCGCCTTCTCAGTTAAGCGCCCCCCTTTTTCAGCCGTCTATCCAGTACCCCTTCCTTCCCGGAGCTTCGATCACCCAAGACGTTCCATCCCCGGAGCTCCCTCCGCCTTAACGTTCATTTTGCACGTGGAGACTCTTGGCTTTCAGTGTTGCACGTGCAGAATCTTGGCTTTCATTGTTGCACCTGTCGAATCTTGGCTTTCATTGTTGCCATGTACGGTAGAAACTTGGCTTTCATTATTACACGTGTAGAATCTTGGCTTTCATTATTACACGTGTAGAATCTTGACTTTCATTGTTGCACATGTACGGTAGAAACTTGGCTTTCATTATTACACGTGTAGAATCTTGGCTTTCATTATTACACGTGTAGAATCTTGACTTTCATTGTTGCACCTGTCGAATCTTGGCTTTCATTGTTGCACATGTACGGTAGAAACTTGGCTTTCATTATTACACGTGTAGAATCTTGGCTTTCATTATTACACGTGTAGAATCTTGGCTTTCATTATTACACGTGTAGAAACTTGGCTTTCATTGTTGCACCTGTCGAATCTTGGCTTTCATTGTTGCACATGTACGGTAGAATCTTGGCTTTCATTATTACACGTGTAGAATCTTGGCTTTCATTATTACACGTGTAGAATCTTGGCTTTCATTATTACACGTGTAGAATCTTGGGCTTTCATTATTACACGTGTAGAATCTTGGCTTTCATTGTTGCACCTGTCGAATTTTGGCTTTCATTGTTGCACATGTACGGTAGAAACTTGGCTTTCATTATTACACGTGTAGAATCTTGGCTTTCATTATTACACGTGTAAGAATCTTGGCTTTCATTATTACACGTGTAGAAACTTGGCTTTCATTATTACACGTGTAGAATCTTGGCTTTCATTGTTGCAGGTGTAGAATCTTGGCTTCCCTGCCCCTTGGGGACCGAATGAGTGATCTGGGTTTTCCCCCCACTTTCACTTTTTCTCATTGCCCGGCTTTGATCTTTGCTAGAGATCAATCTTTGTTCATCTCTAGCAATAAAGTTGCATCTCCCAGAAGTCAGGCGCCCTTGGAAACCCAAAAGGGGTGGGCCAGTCGCGGCGAGCCTTCTTGCACCAATGTAAAGGTGTTTGATGTGAGTGTGATGAGAGTTATAGATAGTCCTGACCATTAGAACAATTAATCATTCACTGCCTCCGGAAATTGTGAATGCTCCAACAGTTTTTAAAGAAGAGATTGGACAACCGTTTGTCTGAAATGATATACGGTAGTGGCCAAAATTGTGGAAACCTTTTGAGGAAAGTGTATTTTTGAGGTTTGATAGCTAATAACACCTCCCCCCCCCCTTTTTTTGGGGGGGGGAGTTTCAAGATAATCCTATTCCATTGCTGGAATGGCCTGGGAATAGCCCAGACCTTAACCCAACTGAAAATCTATGGAGCTGACTAAAGAAACTTGTTAGTCAGAAGCGACCCTGCAATAAAACCCAGTTAATAGAAGCCATCATTCAATCTTGGTTTCATATTAGAACAGCTGCAGAACTATAAGGCTTGGTTCATTCCGTGGGAAGATGTTGTAAGGCCATAATTCATGCTAAAGGTTACCCAACTAAGTATTAACTGACATGGTGATAATTTTTCTATATCTTGTTTTTTCTATGGTGATAATTTTTGTATATCTTGTTTCACTTTCCTTCTTTATAACTGCTATTCTAATAGCAAATCCTTCATAAAAGTTATTGCATTACATTCTTGATTATCTTTCCATTGATATATAACTTTATGGTACGACTGAGTGGTGAAATCCAATTTTTTTCCTATGGTTCTGTGGGTGTGGCTTGGTGGGCATGGTGTGGCTTGGTGGGTCTGGTTTGGTGGGTGTGGCAGGGGAAGGATATTGCAAAATCTCCATTCCCACCCCACTCTGGGGCCAGCCAGAGGTGGTATTTGCCGGTTCTCTGAACTATTCAAAATTTCCACTACTACTGGTTCTCCAGAACCTGTCAGAACCTGCTGGATTTCACCCCTGGTACTACTCCAAAAAATAGTGGTGTTTGTTAAGGATATTGGTGTTGTGTTACCAACCAGCAGAGTGTAGAGCACAGAGAAACGTTGCTGAGAGCAATGAATAAGAGATATGCAAACTGGTTTATCAAAAGCTTACTTTATAGTAGAAAAACAGTCTCATAGTCTTTAAACAAATTCCAAGTCTTTGCCAGTTAAATCAGTCCAGTAGTTACAGATATCTTCTTACCAAACAAACATTAGTTGGTTAGAATAACAAACTCACTCCGGTTCACAAACCACGATGGTAGCAGATCCATCAAACGATGATAGTGTTGTGGAAGGAAGGAATTAAGAGACATCCCTTCGGGCAAACAGAGTCAGCTTTATTATTGCAATAAGGTTCAGACAGGTATTGCTACCTGAAGAATCTGAGCAAAGTAATGAACATGAGAGTCCAACTTTATACAGCTTCAAACAAAGGATTCTGTTAACTCAGCAATTCATATGGTCATATACATTTGTCATTTTTAATTGACATTTCCTAATTACTGTTTCATTTTATTCTCTGCCAACATTCGTAATTCTTTATGTAGATTACTGAAGCATAGATTCAAATTATCTCTTGTTAATATTACATGTGGTCATACTTGATCTCTTTAACCTTCAACTGTGTATCACCAAAATGCTTGTATCTCTGACAACTGAGGGGCCTCTCCTCACTGGTTCTACATCAAAGAAGGAATGTGTCTGCCTTTTATTTCAACTGGATACATTTGCAAGCACAATTTCTCTTCTACAATACTATGAACCAAGAGGGCCCTTCAGTGATCATCTAGCTGGACCCGCTTTTCCTACTTTAATAGCACAATGGTTAGCAACTCCTCACACTATGGTAGCTTATCATCAACTGAATACGTTACGGTACCTTCCTTAAATACGTTCACAATTAATCACAGCATGACTCAGCATTACAATGAATCAGCAGTAAAACTTTAAAGTCATACAATACATATTCAGCTTAAAGTTACACTACACATATATTGCCTGGACAACTTGTTAGGCTCAAACCATATCCTAACAGTGTTGTTAGCTAGTTTTAGAAAATACACTTTTCTCAAAAGGTTTGCACAATTTTGGCCACTACCGTAGGGTTTCCTGCCTGAGCAGGGGGTCAGACTAGAAGGCCTCCAAGGTCCCTTTTCAGCTGTGTTATTCTGTTCTCTTAAAAGCAGCTCATGAGGTCAGAACTGCTTCTAGTGCTCCAGCTGGCTGATCCAGAAAGATCCGTTTCCAAGGGATCCCTTTAGCTTTTTTAGGGTCACTCAAACTTTCTTGGGGGAATTGCCCCCTTCCAGGTTTACAAAGAGGACTGTTAAAAGGCCACCGTAAGTTTGAGCTTGCTTGTTTTCTTGCAGGGGTTTGATTACCCAAAATAGGTAACATCATCAGTGCTAACACTAGCACTAGTTTGGGCAGTGAAACTGAGTAATGAAACATCTGCAAGAAAAGGACCTCTCATTTCTACCTTGAGCTACAAATATTCTCTGTCAACCTGCAAAACAACTTCACCTGAAACCATGCTTACTTCTGCTTCATTTCTTGGTTGCCATTCAAGGTGGGCTTAGGAATTTGGTGCCTCAGCTGGCTAGTCATAACTTGGCATGTGAACTAAGTTTATGTCATCGGAGACCTGTTGGAGGCGGGTGGGAACCTGTGACTGGACTGATTGGCCCATGTGACCTGAAAGACCTAGCGGGGTGGGGAAATCCTATTCTTTTAACTATCCCTATGCGCAGGAATGATTTATTTTTATTTATTTTATTTTTAAATTTCTATACCGCCCTTCTCCCTGAGGACTCAGGGCGGTGAACAGCCAAGTAAAAACATAAACTACAAACATTAAAATACAATTAAAAAGATATATATAAATTTGGCCCCATGATTAAAAACAATAACAGACAATTAAAAACATTTTAAAAAGTGTTAGGCCAGCCCGGCTTGCTGGAAAAAGAAGGTTTTAAGGGCATGGCGGAAGGCACCGAGGTCTTGGATTCTTTTTATCTCTGGGGGCAGCTGATTCCAGAGGGTGGGAGCCCCCACAGAGAAGGCCCTCCCCCTGGGGGTCACCAGCCTACATTGTAGGCACCCCGAGGAGGCCCTCTCTGGGAGCGCACAGGTCAATGGGAGGCCGTCGGTAGCAGCAGGCGGTCTCGAAGATAACTAGGTCCTATGCCATGGAGCGCTTTAAAGGTGATAACCAACACCTTGAAGCGCACCCGGAAGACCACTGGGAGCCAGTCCAGCTCACGCAGGAGAGGTGTTGTATGGGAGCGCCATGCGGCTCCAGTGACTACCCGTGCAGCCGCATTCTGGACCAGTTGGAGCCTCCGGGTGCTCTTCAAGGGGAGCCCCATGTAGAGAGTGTTGCAGTAGTCCAGGCGAGAGGTGACGAGGGCGTGAGTGACTGTGCACAGGGAATCCCGATCAAGTAAGGGCCGCAACTGACGAATCAGGCGAACCTGACAGAAGGTCCCCCTGGCTACAGCCGTCAGATGTTCCTCCAAGGACAGCTGCGTATCCAGGAGGACTCCCAGATTGCGAGCCCTCTCCGCGGGGGCCAAAGACTCGCCCCCGATAGTCAGTGATGGAGTCAACTGACTATATCGGGATGCCGGGAGCCACAGCCACTCAGTCTTGGAAGGGTTGAGCTTGACTTAGAGCTAGCTTCATCTTTCTAAGTGCTGATACGACCATGATGGCGAACCCATGACACACGTGCCCAAAGTGGCATGCAAAGCCATGTCGCCCGGAATGTGCAGCCTTGCCTGTTTGTCTTCGGGGTTTCTGGCGCGACGATCAGCTTTCCTTTGTGCACGCGGCAATGCCGAAAACCAGTGTGCGCATGCGCACGGGCCAGCTGATTGCGCGTCAGTACCCGGAAGTTCGGCTTTTCTGGAGCGGGATCTTTTTATGCGTGCAGCAATGCCGAAAACCGGCCTGCGCATATGCGTCGGCCAGCTGATCATCAGACACGCATGCACGCTAGAACCCGGAAGTTCGGCTTTTCCAGAGCGTGGCCCTGATGAGCGTGCACGCGTGACATTTCCAAGCAACCTTTTCGGCACTCGGTGCCGAAAAGGTTCACCATCACTGCGATAAGATGTACTCAATAAAGGGATTCTTGAACCCGAGCAAAGCATCAGAATCCTGACTTCCCAGAGTTCATTACTCGGAATGATGACATTCCCCTTTACCCTGTTTCCCCCAAAATAAGACATCCCCTGATAATAAGCCCAATCAGGCTTTTGAGCGCATGGCAATAAGGCCAAGTGCTTATTTCAAGGTTCAAAAAAATATAAGACAGGGTCTTATTTTGGGGAAAACATGGTATTGGTACCATAAATCGAAAAGAGGATTCCTGATGACAGTGAGATTCAGAGACGGTCCTGAGTTGCAGAGCTCCTAATTCTGACCCTTTACCGCTTCTCTTTCCAGGCTCTTCCAAACACTCCCTGTCTTATTCCTACCTGCAAGTGTCAGAGCCCAGCCAGGAGCTCCCCCAGTTTATCTCCATGGTCCACCTGGATGACCAGCCCATCGCTCGCTATGACAACCACACCAGGAAGCTGGAGCCTCTGGTGCCCTGGATGGAGATGGTGGAGCTGGAAAGCTGTCTGGATCCTGAGTGGGTCTTCAGGGCTGACCTGGGGAGTGTGCAAAACTTCCACCCCCGGAATGAAGGTGAGATTCTTCCTCTCAATTCTCACCTTCCACATCCTGTCATTTCAACCGTCAAGCAAAGAAACAAGTTCCCAGAGATTGTGGAATGGAAGCAGAACAATGACACACACACACACCAAAAAAACATGGACCACAAAGTCGGAGCAAAACAACTACGAAACTGCCCACACATGCATTGCAGGAATCCAAATGCCAGGATTTCTTTGTCTCTTTTGGTCTCCAAGGATGCAAAGAGATTGTTGTGGTTGTTAGTTGCGAATTCGTGTCCGACCCATCGCGACCCCATGGACCATGTTCCTCCAGGCCTTCCTGTCCTCTACCATCTTCTGGAGTCCATTTAAGCTCACACCGACTGCTTCAGTGACTCCATCCAGCCACCTCATTCTCTGTCATCCTGTTCTTCTTTTGCCCTCAATCTTTCCCAGCATTAGGCTCTTCTCCAGTGAATCCTTCCTTCTCATTAGGTGGCCAAAGGATTTATTTATTTTTATTTATTTATTTATTTTTATATGCCACCCTTCTCCGGAGACTCAGGGCGGCTTACAATGCGTTAAGCAATAGCCTTCATACTTTTGTATCTTTTATACAAAGTCAGCTTATTGCCCCCACAAACTGGGTCCTCATTTCACCTACCTTAGAAAGGATGGAAGGCTGAGTCGACCTTGAGCCTGGTGAGAATTGAACTCACAGTAATTGCAGGCAGCTGGATGTTAAATGCTGCCTTAGTAGGAGGCATTAGCCTCCTACGCCACTCAGGCTCAGTAGACATTTGAGTTTCACCTTCAGGATCTGACCTTCTAAAGAGCAGTCAGGGTTGATCTCCTCTAGGATTGGATCGGTTTGATCACCCCGCAGTCCAATGGACTCGCAGGAGTCTTCTCCAGCACCATAATCATAATTTTAAGTTTATTTGTCAAGCATGTATAAGATAACAGGTAAAAGTATAGACATAATTTGAATACATGAAAAGAGTAAGTAAAAAGGAGTATTAGGACAGGGACGGTAGGCACGCTGGTGCGCTTATGCACACCCCTTATAGACCTCTTAGGAATAGGATGAGGTCAACAGTAGACAGTCTAAGGTTAAAGTTTTGGTGGTTTGGGGAAGAAATCACAGAGTCAGGTAGTGCATTCCAGGCATTGACCACTCTGTTACTGAAATCGTATTTTCTGCAATCGAGTTTGGAGCGGTTTACCTTCAGTTTGTATCTATTATTTGCTGGTGTATTGTGGTTGAAGCTGAAGTAGCCGTTGACAGGAAGGACATTGTGGCAGATAATTTTAGTCCAAAGGCCTCAATTCTTTGGCACTCAGCCTTTCTTATGGTCCAACTTTCACAGCCATCCATTGCAACTGGGAAAACCATAGCCTTGACTATACGCACTTTAGTTGGCAGGGTGATGTCTCTGCTTTTTAGTAAGTTATCTAGATCTGCCATAGCTTTCCTCCCCAGGACCAAGCGTCTTTTAATTTCTTGGCTGCAGTCCCCGTCTGCGGTGATCTTGGAGCCCAGGAAAATAAAATCTGTTACTACCTCCATTTCTTCTCCATCTATTTATCAGGAGCAAAGAGATTGTGATGTGATTTATTTTCTTTTGGGGGGGGGGGGGAATAGAGAAAGAGAAAAAAAATCCCTCCCTTTTCAAAGGCACTTCTGCCTCTATTTATTTGTGAAACAGTTTTGTAGCTCCTAACAGTAAAATTGATGTCTTCTTCATCTAGAAAGAGATTGAAAGTCCTGGTGAGGAGGGGGCGAGGAGGGAGCGTATGGGGGAGAGGGGGAGGAATCCCCACCTTTTCCAATCTCATTGAGTTTCTACTTCAGGGCTTCACACCTGGCAGGCGATTTTGGGCTGCGAACTCTGGGAAGACGGGAGCCAAGGAGGGTATTTCCACTATGGCTACGGTGGGATGGACTTCATCAGCTTCGACAAGGAGACCCTCAGATGGGTGACAGCTCAGCCCCAGGCCCAGAAGGTCAAGGAGAAGTGGGAGGATGATCCAAGGTGGTTTCAGGAAAATAAACACTTCCTGGAGGAGACCTGCATTGTGTTGCTGAAGACATACCTGTCCTATGGGAAGGAAGCTCTTCAGAGGACAGGTGAGTCCATTGGAGAAGAAAAGCTGGGGATCTCTCTAGGCTGGACATTTGAGGATGCAGATGGGGACGGGGGTCCTGTTTTGGAAACAAGCCAACCTTCTGTTGCACCTGGCTTCCCAGGGGGCTCTAGCATGTCTAACCATTGAAACAGGGGTGAAATGCTCGCAGTTCGGACCGGATCGCCCAATCCGGTAGTGATGGCGGCGGGTGGTTCGGAGAATTGGTAGCAAAAATCCCTGCCCTCCCCACCACGCTCGGCTGAGTCGCACAATCATCAGAGGCTTTTTTTTTTTTTTTTTACTTTTAAAAGCATTTTTTCTACAAACTGTTCGGCTGAAAAAATGCTTTTAAAAGTAAAAAAAAAAAAAAAGCCTCTGATGATCGTGCGGCTCAGCTGGGATCGTCAGAACCTTTTAAAAGCATTTTTTCTACAACCTCTTCGGCCCAGGTTGCAGAAAAAAATGCCTTTATTTATTTATTTATTTATTTATTTATTTATTTATTTATTTATTTATTTATTTATTTTTGATTTATATGCCGCCCTTCTCCGGAGACTCAGGGCGGCTTACAATGCATTAAGCAATAGCCTTCATCCTTTTGTATATTTTATACAAAGTCAGCTTATTGCCCCCACAAACTGGGTCCTCAATTTCCCTACCTTTGAAAGGATGGAAGGCTGAGTCGACCTTGAGCCTGGTGAGAATTGAACTCGCAGTAATTGCAGGCAGCTGGATGTTAAATGCTGCCTCAGTAGGAGGCATTAGCCTCCTACGCCACTCAGGCTCCTTTGGTGACCCAGCTGAGTTGCCTGATCATCGGAGGCTTTCAAAAGCATTTTTTTTTCTGCAACCTCTTAAGGTTGTAGAAAAAATGCCTTTAAAAGCTTTTTGAAAAAAGTTGGCCACGCCCACCCAGTCACATTACCCCCCCATCAAGCCATGCCCACAGAACCGGTAGTAACAAATTTTACATTTCACTCCTGCTTTGAAGCCTCCTAGACATTCAGCAGAGAAGCAGAGAGAGTGAGGCAGGCCAAGTCATAGGAGGATATTCCTGCTCTGAAACCATTTTGTTTCCTGGTTTTTGCAGAGCCTCCAGTGGGGAAGGTGACCCACAAGACCACCAGGGACAATGTGGAGACTCTCATCTGCCAGGCCTTTGGCTTCTACCCCAAGGAGATCCAGGCCACCTGGATGAAGGACGAAGAGGTCTGCAAGTATGAGACCCTCCATAGGAATGTGGCTCCCAACTCGGACGGGACCTACTATGTCTGCCTCAGCATTGAAATCGACCCCAAGGAGAGGGACCAGTTTTGGTGTTACCTGGAACATGAAGGCTTGCAGGAGCCCCTGGTCTTGGCTTTCAAGGAGGAGCCTGATGATAAAGTGCAACATCCAGGTAAGTAGAAGGGAATTAAGCACCCATGTTGGAAAGAATGAAGGGTGGGGGGGAAGTTATTTGCAAAACCATCTCAGATCTTGAGATGCAGAGTAAGGATCATCCCCGTGTCCTTCTGATAGAGCCTTCTGCTGAGATGATGCTAATGTTGTGGCCCCGCCCTCTGAGCCTATCTCATCGGAGGAAGAAAGCTCCGAACATGAGGAAGACGAGTCAGCCAGGCCTCCCTCTCCAGGCCCCTCCCCTCTGGCACTTTCTCAGGTGCTGGCCGAGGGAGAGGAGATTAGCCAGGAGCCAAGTGTCTCGGATGAGAGCGAAGGAGAGCCGTCATTCCTGGATGCACGCCAACGAAGGCATGATAAACGGTTGCAGCAGTTAAGGAGGCATGCTAGGGATTAAAACTGAGTCACTGGACCACACCCCAGAGACTATATAAGAGAGGGTGATGGCTGGTGACGAACAAAAACGAACTTTGGCTAGTCACTTGAACAACGTCTGAAGCTGCCGAAAGGAATATTGTTTTGCTGGACTATTTGCAATGCATATGTAATTTTATGTTATCTGTTGCAGTAAAAGCTCTTGGCAGACGGTGATTATATTGCTGCCAAGTTTGAGATAACGACCTGTGTGCGTGCCAAGTACTTTCTTAACCCTCGGCTGGCTGTGTTTGTGTGTGTGTGTGGACGGGGATAGATCAGCTAATGATAGAGCATCTCTGAGAGATGCAGGGTGGATTCCACCACACACCCCCATCCCAAGCTTCCAGAAAGAGCCATTATGGCTCTTGGCTTCCATATGGCTAATGGCTTCCAGAAAGAACCATTATGAATATGAGCTATAAGAGGAGGAAAAATGATGCAGCAGCAGCAGCCAAAAAAGCCAATGCTTTTTTAAAAAAAACTAATTTTTAAAAACAACACCAAAAAACAATCACACCAGGGGTTAAATGCTCCCGGTTCGGACCGGATTACCCGATCTGGTAGCGATGGAGGCGGGTGGTTCGGAGAACCGGTAGCAAAAATCCCTGCGCCCCCACCCCATTGCCCCCCTTTCGCCCCCCCCCCATTGCCCAGCAATGTGGGGCGCAATCATCAGAGGCTTTTAGAATTATTTTTAAAAGCATTTTTTTTCTACAACCTCTTCCGATCAGGCAAGTCCAATCAGGCAAGTCAGCTGGGATCGTCAGAGGATTTTAAAAAAGAAAATAAAGCCTCTGCCGATCAGGCAAGTCAGCTGGGATCATCAGAGGCTTTTAAAAGCATTTTTTTACAACCTCTTCAGCCGAAGAGGTTGTAGAAAAAATGGTTTCAAAAGTAAAAAAGAAAAGAAAAGCTGGCCCTGCCCACTCAGTCATTTTACACCCCTCCCCTCACCAAGCCACGCCCACAGAACCGGTAGTAACAAATTTTACATTTCACCACTGAATCACACACATATGAAAACAAAACATGTCAAGACATAACGTATTGAACATTACCTAACATTAATGGTAATTTTACAGCATTTCGTATCGATTTACGTATTTTGCTTTTGTAGTTCTCTATTCTATCATTTCTATTTACTATTTCAATTGCATTAACAGAGGGATTCAGTCAAGATCATGGGAGATACTGGAAACAAAATAATATACCTTCAGACGAAATAATAATTAGGAAAATTCTTGAATGTGCAGAAATGGACAAAATGACTATGGAGTTCAAAGAGAGGGATGATTCGGATTATTATGAAGTATGGAATAAAATGTACAGTTGGCTCGAAAATGGAAAGCAAAACCGGAAATGTTTAACTTAATACTGTTGAAACTTCAATTGGTGTAATTGAATAACATTGAACAAAGAGATGTAAATATAAATGAATATAAATCGGTAGATAAGAACAATGAATACTATTATATGTGTTAATATATACATTGATGTAACGTTCTTTTTAATTGTTTTTAATGTTTGTATTGTATGTTTTTTATCTGGCTGTACACCGCCCTGAGTCCCACGGGAGAAGGTGCAGTATATAAATTCGAAATAAAATAAATAAAATAAATAAAACGTTATTATACTACTATTGAGAAGTAAATGGATATGATAGAATAGAGAACTACAAAAGCAAAATACGTATGCCGATACAGAAAACTGTAAAATGACCTTAGAGGGTATGTACTGTTTGTTATGTTTTGTATTGTTTTTATGTATCTGTGGTTGTTTTTTATGTTGTTTTTAGAGACAAAACTGTTCAATAAAAATTATTTTTTTAAAAAAAAAAAGATCATGGAATGTACTAATACCACTCTATAAAGCCCTATTAAGACCACACCTAGAGTATTCTAGGGGACTCAGCATCTGTGATGGAGGCCCCAAGAGCAGCCGCCAATCCTTAACTCCAATAAAGAGCACCCACCAAATCCTAAGAGTGAGATGTTAGCACTGTTCCAATATTTGAGGGGCTCTTACAAAGACAAGGGTGTCAAACTATCTTCCAAAGCACCAAAAGGCAAGACAAGAAACGAGAATGGAAACTAATCAAGGAGAGAAGCGACTTAGAACTAAGAAGAAATTTTCCTAACAGTAAGAGCAGTTGACCAGTGGAATAGCTTGCCTTCAGTAGTTGTGAGTGCTCCATTACTGGCTTTCTCATTTGTCTGAAATCATATAGGACCGTGATGGCGAACCTATGGCACGCGTGCCACAGGTGGCACGCGGAGCCATATTAGTGGGCACGCCAGCTCAGCTCTGGGGCGCCTGCGCGCGCTGGACAGCTGATTTTCGGGCCTTCTGGGCCCACCAGAAGTAGGGAAACAGGCTGTTTCCTGCCTCTGGAGGGCCTGGTGGGGGGTGGGGAAGGCCCGTTTTTCTTTCTTACCTGGCTCCAGATCCTTTCTATGGATCTGGGAAGGGCGAAAACAGCCTTTTCCACTCCCTCGGAGGCCCTACGGAGGCTGAAAGGGCCCATTTCCCGACTCCCGGTGGGACAGGAAGTGACGTTTTTTCCTGTCCCCAGCCTCCAGAGGCTCCTTGCGAGGCTCCTCGAGACTCCTAAAGAGGTTCTGGAGGCTGGGGACAGCAAAAAACATCACTTCCTGTCCCACCGAGAGTTGGGAAATGGGCCCTTTCAGCCTCCGTAGGGCCTCCGAGGGAGTGGAAAAGGCTGTTTTCGCCCTTCCCAGATCCATAGAAAGGATCTGGAATCAGGTAAGAAAGAAAAATGAGCCTACCAGGCCATCATGTGCCAGGAGCGGGGGTGGGTGGGGTTCCGTGCGCATGTGCGTGGGCACGTGCATGCGCGACCCTCCCCCTGCCCCCCCTCTGCTGGCATGCAATGGCAAAAAGGTTAGCCATCACTGATATAGGATCTTCTGCTCAATCAGGGGGTTGGACTAGAAGACCTCCAAGGTCCCTTCCAACTCTATTATTCTATGTTCTAATCAGAAATGTGTTTCTCTTCCTTCAGCCAGAGAGAGATTTGCTCTGCTGGGGACCACCCTTATTGCCCTGTTGCTGCTTCTGATCATGGTCCTCCTGAGACGTAAGTGAACTGGAAATACCCTGGTGCTGATGGGTGCCAGGACCCCCCCCTCAAAAAAACCCCTCCCCATACAGACCCAAAAGTTTTTTTTCCCCCAAAAGTCAACTGGACTTTCTGTTGTTGTTGTTTTCTTTGAAAATATTTCGCATCTATTCCAAGAATCTTCTTCAGTTTGAAGTTCAGTTCAGTTCTTCGGTTCTAAGTTTTTTGGCCAAGAATCAGAATCAGAATCATATGTTTATTTATCAAGCATATATAAGATGCTTGATGTTTTATCATATAACTGGTTTTATGGGTTATTTTAAGGGTAATGGGTTTTAATGTTTTGGGAAGCCAATTCGATTTCATTCTGCTTTTAAATTATTTTAAATTTTGTATTGTATGTATTTTAATTTTGGCTGTGCACCCGCCCTGAGTCCTTCGGGAGAAGGGCGGTATACAAATTTAAATAATAATAATAATCCACAACACACCTGACATAACAATAGTTGAAAAGAAAAAAGTATGGTTCATTGACATTGCAATACCTGGTGATGCATGAATTGAAGATAAGCAGCAAGAAAAAATCACCAAGTACCGGGACTTACAAATTGAAGTTGAGCGACTGTGGAAAAAGAAATCGTGTGTTGTCCCGATTGTAATTGGAGCCCTCGGAGCAATACCCAAAGGGCTACCTCGCTATTTAGAAATTCTAAAATTGCCGGACTTGAACATTTTGACTCTACAAAAAACCACCTTACTCGGAACAGCTTACATCCTCCGACGATACCTTAACAGTTCCTAGGTCCTTGGTTAGGACTCGAGCTGCTGAGCTATTAACCAGCCTCAAAGGCTGTGAATCTCACTAAAGATTAACCATTAATAATAATAATAATAATAATAATAATAATAATAATAATAATAATAATATAAACATAATTTGAATACATGAAAAGACTAAGAGTAAAAAGGAATATTAGGACAGGGATGGTAGGCACGCTGGTGCACTTATGCATGTCCCTTACAGACCTCTTAGGAATGGGGTGAGGTCAACAGTAGACAGTCTAAGGTTAAAGTTTTGGGGGTTTGGGGAAGAAACCACAGAGTCAGGTAGTGCATTCCAGGCATTGACCACTCTGTTACTGAAGTCACATACAGAAGCAAAACATTTTCAAAGAAAAACACAGGAGGAAAAAAAGTCCAGTTGCCTTCTTTTGGGGGAAAAAAAGCACTTTTTGGACAACCCTGACGTGGATGATTGAGAATCCCCATAAAGATCCTGCCATAAAGAGTCAGAAGGGAAGGCCATCCCAAGTAACCATTTCGTTGTACAGATCTCACAGTCCACATCTGCCTTCCTGGAATGTAGTTCAAGGACCGCCTATCTGCCCACCCGTTACACCAGGCAGGAAACAGAATCTTGCCAAATCTGAGGGTACGAAGTTCTCCAACTGCCACTTTTCACTGCTTGATTTATGAAGGCAGATCCTTTTGTACTTTCTTTTCCCTGAGCTTTTAACCACTCTGGGGCGCCTCCGTCTCTTCGGCAATTGTTTTCCTAAGAAGCATCTCTTCCCTCGTCCACGCATTTATTTGCACAACCTTAACAAGGGAATTACTTTGCAATAGTGGGGAATATCTGTAGTTCGGGTATAGGGTGAGGGTGAAAGTTCATTCTCCGAGCTTGTGAGTTGGTTTCCGAACGTTTCGTTACCATTCTAGGTAATGTCTTCAGGGGAGTTTAGGGCATTAACTCAGGGGTGAAATGTAAAATCTGTTACTACTGGTTCTGTGGGTGTGGCTTGGTGGGGGGCGGTAATGTGACAGAGTGGGCGTGGCCAACTTAAAAAAAAAAACTTTTCAAAGCATTTTTTCTAATGCTTTGAAAAGCCTCTCTGCCGATCAGGAACTCAGCTGGGATCGTCAGAGACTTTTCAAAGCATTTTTTTTACCACCTCTTCGGCCAAGAAGTTGCAGGAAAAAAATGCTTTGAAAAGCCTCTGATGATCCCAGCTGAGCCCCGCGATCATCAGAGGCTTTTTTTTTTTTTAACTTTTAAAAGCATTTTTTTCATCAGAAGAGGTTGTTGAAAAAATGCTTTTAAAAGTTGAAAAAAAAAAAGCCTCTGATGATCGTGCGGCTCAGCTGGGCATGGAGGGGGGGCAGGGATTTTTGCTACCGGTTCTCCGAATCACCCGCCGCCATCGCTACCGGATCGGGCGATCCAATCCGAACCGGGAGCATTTCACCCCTGAATTAACTCCATAAAGTCCGCTGAAACCTGGTAACGAAACATTCTTCGCATTTAGCCTGACTAGGTGGCTCAGTGGCTAAGATGCTGAACTTGTCGATCAGAAAGGTTGGCAGTTTGGCGGTTCGAATCCCTAGTACAGGCCTCCTGCATGAGCAGGGGGTTGGGCTAGATGACCTCCAAGGTCCCTTCCAACTCTGTTACTGAGGTTTGGAAAGGGAATTATTGTTCAGAAAGTTAAAAAACCAGGATGTTTTCCTCCTTATGAGACCCAC